AAAGCCCTAAGCCTCACAGACTTTGAGGCACGTTCCTGGGAGAGCAGAAATATAGAGGCCACACCACAAGATGCAAACCACTCATCAGCTGTAAGAATCGGAAGGCCAGATTGAAATTTGCAAAGAAGAACAGAGTTGAGCCGCAAAAGTTCTGCAACATAATCTTATGGACTGATGAGACCAAGATTAATCTCTGGCAAAGTGATGGAAAGGCCAAAGTGTGGAGAAAGAAAGGAACTGCTTATGAGCCAAAGCATACAAGCTCATCTGTGAAGCATGGTGGAGATAATGTCATAGTTTGGGCGTGCATGGCTGCTTCTGGAACAGGCTCATTAATATTTATTGATGATGTAACTGATGATGGTAGCAGCAGAATGAATTCAGAAGTGTACAGAAATATTTTGTATGCCAATTTACGGAGAAATGCATTGAAACTAATGGAGGAAGTTTATCATGCAGCAGGACAATGACCCAAAGCACACTGCCAACAAAACAAAGGACTTCATCAGGGGGGAAAAGTTGAAGGTTTTAGACTGGCCAAGTCAATAACCTGACCTTAACCCAATAGAGCATGCATTTCACCTCCTAAAGATGAGATTGAAGGGAGAAACACCCTGAAACAAACAAGAACTGAAAGAAGCTGCGGTAAAAGCCTGGGATAGCATCACAAATGAAGAAGCCAACAGTTTGGTGATGTTGATGGGTCGCAGGCTTGAGGCAGTTATTGCAAGCAAGGGTTATGCCACCAAATATTAAGTGTTATTTATTTTAAGATTATTTGTTCCAATACTTTTGCTCACCTAAGAATGCTGTGGTCTAATATGAATATGAATATGAATATAAATGTCCTGAGTTGTTTAACACATCTAGATGTGAATACCAGGAAATAAAAGCTGAAATTCTGAACTCTTGTCTCATACTCATCTTTTGATCTTAAACCCAAATGTCTTCAGTGAACAACAAAAACAAAGACATTTGCCCTACCGTTCCAATACTTTTGGAGGGGACTGTAGGTAGCGCAGGGAGGGAAATAATGGTAAGCTCATCAGACGTTTCCTAAAAATACAAAACATTGAATCCCGCACCTCGAGTCTGAAGTCTTGAGGACGAGTCTCAGGTCGAGTTATGTGCAAAATTGAATAATGAATTCTAAAGTAGTGTATTGCCCACTTTTAATTTAAATGTACTGCTACTTACACAAAAGTGCAATAACATGTAGTTTGCAAACACTTTGAACAATGTCAGGGAAAATAAATTCGCAAAGAATACGGAGTCAAACACATGTGATGAATCATACTTTATGTAACGTGGCCACGGAGAGAACGCACGGTTACTCTCCCAAACTCAGCATTTCCTCTCCTTAAATACAGAAACAAGTACAAAAAACACCAGCCAATAGTAAACTGCCAAGACAAGGGAAAACAAATGGCAGTGTATTAGCATAGACTAAAAAGCTCTTCCTAAGCTGAGAAAGGAAATGCAAATGCGCCATCAGAGATGTGTCCCTACCTCTTCATTAGTCTATGTTAAAACTCTAACCTACATGCCAGGAGACGTTTATTGTAAGTCAGACAACCTTTGATTAGGAATAAAACCCTGTGACCAATGCTAATTTCTCACAAGTTAGTTACAGTGAAATCCTAAAAATCAGCAACTTAATGTATTTCTCACAACAAAATAAGGTGCTTTTTACCAGCAGGATTCCCTTTACACAGTAGCAATATAATATTTCTTGTAAATCTCAACTTAAACATTAATGTAATCAAATATTAAACCAAAGTTATTTGCCACTGCCAGGGCATTACCTTTTTATATAGCTATTTTTTTTTTTTAGGAATCAGCACAAACATTTTTCTTTTATCAGGGAACATCATAAACAGTCTATGTTCAGTAGCAAGTGTCGCAGTTAAAGTAAGGAGAAATGGTCGAGCACAAGGCGCAAGTGGGAGTGTTCCCCTAAAACTGTCGCGGTTGTGCTCGCGTCACGCACACGCCTGCCCGCCCGCCCACTGCAGGAGGTTGAATTGTCTTGAACTTTTTGTATGCGATGCGCAGCACAAATCATTGGAAGAGAGACTCATCCTTGCTGTTTGAGAGTTCTAGAATCTATTACTGTTTACTAAATAGTTATCAGGAAATTAACACAAAGGAATTCATATGGCAGAGCATCCCGGTTAAACTAGAAGTAGGTCTATCAGGTAAAGTTATGTAGCCTTTAATTTTTAAGTTTATTTGCAGGCTGATCAATATCCCTCCCCTCCTGTGACCCACTGTATGTATTCAGAGCCAGTGAGTATTGGACTTTTAAACTACTACTACTAATAAAAAAAACTGTTTAATGTGAGATAAAATAATTGTTGCCGTTAATTAATTAATATGTTAACTTGCCCAGCCCTAATAAAAATCCAAAAGAAAACAAGATAAAAATTAATTGTAAAATATAGCAAAATGTTATTATTTAAACATTTCAAGCAAAATGTGATCAACATAGTTTGTATAGAACAGTTTCTGGTGGCAAGTTCATTAATTAATTCTTATGTTGTTTAAAATAGTCCCCTATTTTAAGCTTTGGGACTTTGCACATATCTGAAAAAGAGATGACATCACACAGCATCAACATCCGTATGAGGTCAGTACACACATTTGAACAATGATGTGATAATGTGTGAACGACAAAAAGAGGCTTTGAGTTTCAGTGAAGATTATACTTTCCTGCCCAGTCGCTTTAGATCAGTTCAGTGTGCTTTACTGCCATGAATGTTTCAGTGAAAAAATGTTACCCAAGAGTTTGCAACAAAATCAAAAAGGTTACATTTGAATAACAAGAATAATGGAATCAAGTCCATTCAGTTTAGCAGTTATATAACCACTGCAAAACAAATACTATATGTATGTGAACTACAAGCAGGAATTAACAAGATTTAACCTGCCATGCAGCGAACACTGAGTGCAACAGTTGGCTGAGTTACTCGCTGTCCCATCTGTTTTTCTGGATGGTATTTGAAGAGGCAGTTTGTGACCTATTTGACTCTGTGAAAAATTAAACGAGAAATGTTGTGAACTGCATCCTTCTTAGATTAAATAATTGCAGACACATCTGAAGTTCTTTAAATAGACTTTTGGACAAATTTAAACTTATTTCTGACCACATCACTGCAGTGATAAAGATGTTAAATGACATTTTAAATACTGGTTCAGGTAAAACATTACTCAGAGTTGCTCAGGTTGATTCATGAAGTACAGTAGAAAGACTAAAAGTGGCCCTCTCAGCTGCTCCTCTTTACTCTGAACGGATCATATGTTAGCGAGCTAACATTAGCTTAGTCAATTTTGTTCATTCAGTTACACCTGGCAGTGTCTCCATTTCCATGTGGCTTCCATTTAGACAATCTTGCTGAGTGGGGATTTCACACATATCAGAAATATATTTGGCCAAACTTTTACCAGCAGCAGAACTGTAAAATCTATTCTATAGCTAAGAATGGTAAATCAGTAAATACTATTAAGAGCTAATAGCGCATATGGCATCAATTGGAGAGAGAGTTAACAAAAAAGTTGCAATCAATACAAGGGAACTGTAAGGGAATTTTAAGGGGATAGAAGAAGAGCACAGGAAGTGCATGTTAGAGGATAGGAGTTAGAGGTGTTATAAGAGAAAGTGTTTTCAGAAGAGATGAGATTTCAGGAGCTTCTTGAAGTTGGAGAGGGACGCCTGTGCTCTGATGGCACGTGGTAGCTGGTTCCACCATCGTGGTGTCACAGATGAGACTGAGATTGCTTTGTGAAGGGATGGCAGAGCCAGGTGGCGTTTGTTGGAGGAGTTTAGGTAGATGGGTGCAGACCCCGTAGTCACTCTGTATGCAAGCATTATTGACTTGAATTCTATTAGGAAGGCCACGGGTAGCCAGTGGAGGTCACTGAGTAATGGAGTGACATGAGTCCTTTTGGGCTGATCAGAAACCAGACGCGCTGCTGCGTTCTGGACCATTTGTAGGGGTTTCACCACACAAGCTAAAAGACCTAGGAGGGCATTGCAATAGTCGAGAGATAACCATGGCCTGAACCAGAAGCTGGGTGCTGTACCAATATACTCTGTGTTGAATCACAATTGAAATCCATGGCAAAGTGAAAAATCTGGAAAGTATAAAAACGTTTGCGGTTTCAAACAACATTGGATACTGACTTTAACTGTTATTTGAAGAGGCTCACAGGTTGATGTTGCCATGAATGGTTTGTTGTCAATTCTGAAGAAGTTTCTGCATAACTTGTGAGTGAACTGGAAAACAGAGTGCTGCAGTTTTTCTGACTCAGATTTCCAGTAATGCTCATTGGATAAATGTTAACTGTCCTGCTACTGTTGAAAATATCATTCTTTGGACTGATTTGTAATGTGGAGTCACTTTTAATCCCCACTCCGAAGGTTTCTCTTCTGTCAAACTCTTGTTCTGCTTTAGCTCTAAAGTTACATTGGATTTGCAAACAAGATCCACTCAGTGCTTCCATCTTCTGTGGTGCAGTAATGATGAGGGCTGACTCTCAAGGACAATCAGCCCAAACACCTGTAAAATCAGACTGATGATTAATAAATATTTGGGAAGTATCCTACTATTTATGATTTCACTACCCACTTTAAAAATGATGATGTCACAAAGGACTCTATCTCTCTCAGACTCATATTTATTATGCACATGAAAATAAAAAATCTTGTTCACTCATAATGAAGTCTATCCTGATTGTGTTGTAATGTTGTAATGTCTGCTGCTGTCAGTACATGTATAGAGAATTCATACCTCAAATATAAAACCAAATGCTTTCAAGAGGAAAGTAGGAAACATGTTGCAGGTTACTTTCTTGCTCTGCATACTCCCAAGCTTTTCACATGATGAAATAACTATTTACTTACAACAAATTAGTTGTCAGTTAACCCCACAAAAGGAAACAGTCAAAAGACAAACAATAAACTGCTTCTCAAAAACCCCCCCTTTTTTAAAGTAATGGAAAACAGACTTTGGTAGAAAAATTTAAAAACACATTGAAACCTTATTTATTTTTATATTTCATCAGACAATAAAAACAGTTGAGTCAAATAAAACTAATTACCATATAAATCCTATACAAACTAATGACTAATATATATTACACCGTAGCTTCCATAAAATGAAATAAAACACTTGGCCCTGTTTGCACTCCATCCTTTGTTCATCTTATTGAGCTTCTGCAAAGTGAAATATTTCAGAATTAGATGAATAAGAAAGAGCGAAATATTGCATTTATGGTGAACATGACATCTCCCTCTTCCCCTTCATGATGCTTGAATCTCTGTCACTCTGTTGACATCATCTGCTTCTACTGCGTCCTATGGAAATGAAACAGCGCAGAGAGAGAGAGGTGTTAGTGCTCTGCAGTGAGTTAATGCAGCTGAAAAAGAAGTGCCAGCAGCACCTTGAGCTCGTCTTGGTGAATCAAAGCCTGATATAAAGTGAGATGAGCGCTCCTTACTGACATTTGGCTCCATTGCATTCTGGTCCACTGTCACTGCTGTTTAAGGGGACAGATATCTAAACATCATTCTCTCTAAATGGTTTCTTCTATGTGGTTGTTGGATGACGCCTACAAAGAAACCTTTGCTCTTTCTTAACAGGATCTTTTCTCCCTTTTTTCTTCTGAGACAATTTCTTGTTGAAAGAATAATGTACCTGTTCTCGTCCAGCAGCTTACCTTCACAGTTTGTTGCAGCATCTTGATCTAAACCACCTGAAAGAAAATGAGATGGAATGAATAAACATGAATAAAACTTCAACATGAACTTTTCAAAGAGACCAAAAAGTATTTAGCAGCAAATCATCAGATCAGAGAAAAGTTTGTCTCACCACTCAAAGATGATGATTGTACTGTAGAGCATTACGATTCCCAGGATCTTCACTGTAACGTAGACATCAACCCCAAACTCTGGATAATCTGTAACAAGACAGCTTCAATTTAATGGGAAATGTTATGGCTCCAAATATCATATACTTTAATTCCTTCCTTTCTTAACATTATGTGAATGGCAACATTTCATACAAATGCAATAAAAGGTACTTTACAGAATACTTTAAATAACAAATAAACAAAGCCACACAGCAGAAGAAAACAAAACAGAAGAGAGCAGATTAGATTAAAATTAGCAGATTCAGCACAGTTTTGAATTTACCTGCTTTATTACGTCTGATTACTTGAATATTTGTGCTATTAATACTTTATCCAACAATACCTGCTCCTATTTCACAACTTTATACAGTACATTTGTTTACCTTCAACAGTCAGATGGATCTCTGATGATGTTTCATCACCGAGATCATTTGTGGCCACACAGTAATAAACTCCTCCATCAGTGACATTGGTCACCTTGAAGCTGTAAACCTCTCCTTCAGATACAGTCATGGGTCCATCTGTGCTGTTCTTGAACCAGGTGAAGCGGCTGACGGGAGGCTTGGCTCTGCTGGAGCAGGTCAGGGTCACCCAGCTACCTGCTGACACCAAACCTGATGGACTGATGGACACTGAGGTGTCTCTAGGAGCATCTGAGGAAAATGTGAGATTCACTTTATTCAAATCAGCTTACATCCCATCAATCATCATGTGATGATTGTTATATCCAGTGGTCCTTCTCCTCTTTTTACCTTTTGTTCTCTGCTGTTTCGCCCACCCTATTGTGCCTCTCTGTCTGTTTTCCCCTTGTGAGTCTGCTTGGTTTTCAGGTGGGTGTGGCTCTCCTCCCTGGCTCCTGCACTCACCTGCACCTCATTACCAGTCAACTGCCTGTTATCTATCCCGGTCCAGCGCACCAGTATTGGCCAGATCTTCTGCGTATCTCCAGTGGTCCACACCTTGGCCAGCTAACACATAGAAAACCTGTCTTGTGACTCTTCCTTGTGTAAACTAATCCTTGTGTGTTCTCCCTCATCTCACAGACTACCTGGAACTGCCTGCCTGCCCACCTGCTTCACATTCACCACATCAGCCTAACCACACCGCTCTGTTTTCCCTGTTTGGATCTGGATCATCTTCCTTGCCCCTTGTGAACTGACCTACAATAAACTCCCTTTGTACAAAGAACGTCTATCCGGCTCTGTTGTGCTTTTGGGTCCAGTTTAAAGTACACTTAACAATGATACTGTCTTATAAGCAGTGATTAATAATATCTGAGGTTGATGACTGATGAACTAAAACCCAGCAAATAAAATAGCAGCAAAATAAAAAACTGTGTTAGAAAGTTAAAACATAAAAAGCAGTAGAGTACATACACTACCAGTCAATATCAGAAACTTTAATTCCTTCTGTTAACTTCAAATGTAAACAGATTTATTATTTTTAGTTATTATTATTATTTGATCATTTCACACAAATGCAAAAAAGGTGCTTTACAGTGTAATAAACAAACAAAGCAATACAGAGAAGGAAAAGACGACTAAACAGAGAAGAGAAGACCAGATTAAAGCAGATTCAACACAGTTCTGTATTTACCTACAGTTTTCAAATGAATCTCTGATGACGTCTGATTACCGAGATCATTTGTGGCCACACAGTAATAAACTCCTCCATCAGTGACACTGGTCACCTTGAAGATGTAAACCTCTCCTTCAGATACAGTCATGGGTCCATCTGTGCTGCTCTTGAACCAGGTGAAGCGGCTGACGGGAGGCTTGGCTCTGCTGGAGCAGGTCAGGTTCACCCAGCTACCTGCTGACACCAAACCTGATGGACTGATGGACACTGAGGTGTTTTTAGGAGCATCTGAGGAAAATGTGAGATTCACTTTATTCAAATCAGCTGACATCCCATCAATCATCATGTGCTGACAAGATCCAATAACAAACTCTGCTTGTCTTACATGAAACACTGAGAGTCTTTCTCTCCTCTGCTGTCTTGACATCTTTTCCTTCATTCACAGGATATCTGGCTGAACAGGTGATGTTGTATCCATCATGTTGGTCTGACAGAGTGATGGTCTCCTGGATTTTAGTTGTAAAGGTTCGATCTGTGTTTTCCTCTGTGTTGCTGTGAGAGTCTTGTTGGAGGTTCCAGGTGAGTTTAGGAGGGGAGTGTGGACAGGGAGTGGAAGCTGAGCAGGTTATAGTGACAGACTGCTTCTCCTTCAGATCAGCTGGGATCTCAATTCTGGGGCTCGGAGGAGAATCTGTGGTTTCAGATCAAACACAGATTTTACTCTGAAAGGGCAATGCTGACATTTAAGTATTTAAACGGCTTATACTGATAATGTAAAGATCAACTAGATTAATTTAAAATGTAGGCCTAATAAAGAATTAACAACAATAAATGTTGTGTAGGTTTTTTCCCTCACTGATGATGTGAAGGAGTGAAAATAATTCAAAACATAAGTTTTCCTTTTTTCCTGTTTCAAATAACAAATTCAGCAGACAGGTACTGACATTTTGTCTGATTTGGCAGTTACAGTAATGCAGTGAAAAGAAGTGAAAGATGTTTTCATATATATGTATCTAAGCAGTATTTAACTGTAGTAACTTTGAAAATGACCACTTTCTATTCACTGGTTGGTTTCTTTAACGTTGGACTCTGACAGCTGCTGTTGATAATCCTACAGTAGATATTTCATTTCACAGTGAAGGTTAGAGTCATGGAGTTTTCTGTTAAACCAAAACCGCAACTGATTTCATGTTTTATTCCAACCAATAACATTATAGATGTTGACAGATATATACTGAAAAACTAAACTCTCTCACCTTTAACTGTTATTTGAAGAGGATCACAAGATGCTGTCGACATGAATGGTTTGTTCTCTATTCTGAAGAAGTATATGTTTGTATAACTTGTGAGTAAACTGGAAAACAGAGTGGTGCAGTTTTTCTGACTCAGGTTTCCAGTAATCCTCATTGGATAGATGTTAACTGTCCTGCTACTGTTGAAAATCACATTGTTTGAATTGATGCCAAACCTGGTGTCATTTTTAATCCACACTCCGAAGGTTTCTCTGCTGCTGTCAAACTCTTGTTCTGCTTTAGCACTAAAGCTACATGGGATTTGCAAACAAGAGCCACTCAGTGCTTCCATCTTCTGTGGTGCAGTGATGAAGAGGCCTGCTGGCTGTTGAGGACAATCAGCCCAAACACCTGTAAAACCAGATGATTAACAAAAAGTGGAGCAAAATCTGCATGAAGAGAAAGTTCACGATACACAAACTACAATTCAGCAGCAGCTTGTTCGCTCCTTTTTCCTTTTAACAATGTCAGTATAAAACATTTCACTGCACTGGTCTTTCTGCTTTGTTTTCTAAATGTAAATGATGAACATGTCCAAATAAAAGTGACTGAACAAACAGCTCACCTGAAAGAAAGAAGACACTCAGTAACATGTTGGCTGTCACCATATTCACAGACAGGACTGCAATGACACTCATCACCTGGTTATGAAAACAAAAGTTACTTTTCAATATTTTAATCAAAGCATTCATGATCTTTTAAAGCAAACTCAAATTCACACAGGAACTTGCCATCTACAACCAGATGTTACTGTGTTATAAGCAGTGAATAATAATATCTGCAGAGCTGAACTGAGAAAAGTTTCAATATAAAATCAAAATGATCCAGCGTGAGTTTATGATGTAGTTAAAATAAAATGTTGCTGAAGCAACTTCTTATTTCTGTGAGGCTCATTTCTGCTAAACCAAAATTTCAGTTTTCTTTCTAATTATTATTAGAAAGCACAAACATGAAAAGCAGAAACATTTTACCTTACCAAACGAGCCTACAGCTGAAACAGAGAAATAATTTGTTTTAAAATCATGGAATTTGTGAATTTCAGCAGAACTGCAACAGTGACTCCCCTGCTAAGCCGTTGTAATATAAAAACAAGCTGAGTTGTTGTTGTTTCAAACTAGATATCACACGACTAAAATACTGCAGAAACACAAGAAGTCTTCACACTTCCTGCTCTCACTGTCAGTGAGGAAGTCAGTTTGGGGCAGCTTGAGCTCATTTGAATGCAAATGATGTCAGATGTTGTTGCATCTTCAACTCATCAGGGTGCAAATGGTTTATTTATTTAGACTTATTATTTTCTAGTTTAAATATTATTTTAGTTTTCACACTAATGTAGTATTGTATTGAGTGCAGGCTTATATTCCCTGTGTTTTCTGTCGCTTATGTTACATTCATTTCAGTACAGACAATTAAAAACAAAGTGAGCTTACTGTATTGTAAGGAGGACAGTTCCAGGGGATAAAGGTTCAGATGATCTTTTCCTGCTGAGTTTCTGTTTATTGCATTCAGACCAGTTTACAGACCCAAAGGAAAAAGGCTGATTGAGGCAACAGCCAGAGCTGGTAAGGCTCCTTCTGATGGATCAGGTGAGGACTCTGTTGTGGTTTTGTCAACATGCGGCCAAACAAATAAGTGCACATCAGAAAGAAGATTTGAAAAGAAGGGAAGATTTGTGCTCTTTTTGCAGTAAACAGCTGTACAAAGTGTATCATGTTCATGTCAAATTATAAAGAAGGTGAGTAGAAACATTATCTACTTTAACTTAAACAAGATACACAGAAATACAGTAATATCTTAATTTATGCCATTACTGACATTAAAATATGAACAAAACTAAACTGGGAACTTAATGATGAAGCAATTTTTCCAAATGATCAACTTCTGTAAACCTTCTGTAAAAATCCTCAGTGTTTTTTCAACACTTCGTAAACGACACCCTCAGTTTACCCTCCACCACTTCTCTTTTACACACTTTACAGCAGCACCTTGAGCTCGTCTTGAAGCCTAATATAAAGTGAGATTAGTTCTCCTTACTTGTCTATATGTTTCTTTCCAAACAAATGAGATGTCAGAATAGAAATTGGTACACATGTTAACATGAGCACAACATTCACAGACAGGACTGCATTGACACTCATCACCTTGATTTGAAAACAGAAATTACTTTTTAATGTTTTATTGAAATCATCTTTTAAACAAAACATTCATGTTCTTTTAAAGCAAACTCAAATTCAAACATTCAAACAGGAAGTAGCAACCAGATGTTACTGTGTGATTAATAATATCTGAGGTTCATTTCTGCTGAACTAATTCCAACAAATAAAATATATCCTGTCATTTTCAGTGAAGTTCATGAAAAGCAGTAAAATAAAGACATCAAACATAAAAGCAAAAACATTTTACCTTACCAAACGAGCCTGCAGCTGAAAGAGAAACAATTCGTTTTAAATTCAAGCAATTTATAAATTTCACAGTAACAGTAACCAACTTCCCTGCTGAGCCTTTGCAATATAAAGCAAAAGCAAACAGAGTTACTCTTTCAAGCTGAATACCACACGATTAAAATACTGCAAAGTCTTCACACTTCTTGGCCACACCCTGTCATTGAGGAAGTCAGATGCATCTTCAGCTCATCAGGGTGAAAATTACTGAATTATTTAGTTTGTATTATTTTCTAGTTTTGTTGTTATTTATTTTAGTTTACACATTCATTTAGTATAGTGTATTAATTGCAAGCCCATATTCCCTATTCTTTCTGTAGCTTATATGGAGTACAAACTGTTGTGGTGGCAGCCTGGCTGATGGTGAGTGTCCTGTTTATTTGTCTTTTTTTCTTTTCTTGTGATTCTGTTTTTCCCTTGTGTTTTGGCCTGCCTGTCTGTGTCTCCTCTGCTCCCCTTGCTTGTGTTCTCCCTCTCTCTCTGCTCCTGAGCCCAGCTGACGATCCACACCTGCACCTCGTCAGCCACCTCCTCTGCCTGCCACACCTGCCAGCAATCAACTCCATCCCTGCCAGTATTTCAGCCCCAGTTCTCCACACAATAGCTGTTTAATTGTTGTTGCTCCTGACCTGGTGTCACTACTTGACTCAGGCTTTTTATCTAGTCACTAACCCTGTCTGTCTGTCTCTCCCCAGGTTCACTCACCCTCCTCTCCCGTTGTGTCAACTGGGCTCGTCAACCTGCTCCCCCTCATGCCTCGGTCAGCCTGCCACCACACTCCTCCACCAACCCCCGGTCAGTTCTCCCGTGCCTCCCAGTTCCCTCGTCCCAGCTTCCTTGGTCCTGCCTGCTCCTCAGCCCCACCGTGTTCCCAATGGCCCAATCTGCCGTACTTGCTGCTCGGTCCCCCGTGCCCGTGTTCCCCCGGCATCCACCTCTCCCTCACCTCCCTTTTCCCCTCAATAAAACCTGTTTCCCCGGAGCGTTGCTTTTGGGTCCTCTCTGTCCAACACTCACACAACACATACGCTACCAGTCAAATGTTGGGACACAGCCATTTACTGTTTTTTCTATATTTTTATTTCACATTGTAGTTAATTAATATTGAAAACATAAAAACTATGAAGGAACTGTCACAATCTGACATACTGAAAGTATAACAGTCAGGGGCGGCCTGGGACAAAAAGTCGGCACTGTAGCCAAGCCAGCCCACCTTACCATGCATCCACATGAACACACATTGACTACTTAGGCTACATTTGTGTACAGATGGTGAAACAATATAAGCAGTAGGCCTACTGTATGGAACAGCAAGGCCATCACTTTGTGTTGAACAGAGGTGGAGACATAAGGTCTGAGAATAGGGGTGTGATGAAAGACTTTTGATCTTAAGCAGATATTTTAACACTATTTTGAAGAAATATTTGAAGATTTTGAGCATTAAACTCATTTTCTGCATTCTGGAGAGATTCTTTCCTCCATGTTGAAATTGCATTGCATGCTTTCTTATTGTTCAAATAACCCTTTCTCAAAGCATTTTCATTTGTAATTTAACATTTCTTGTTCCAAGCTATTTTTAAGAACATATGCTTACCAATAGTGATGAGCACATGTCCCCATAGACCCTAGTGTAAATGACACCAGTGGTAACAGGTTTGTAACATTTCATGTATGTGACTGGCACACAATGCTCAATAGTTTTTTTGGAGCACACGTTTATAACAAATTTACACATGCAGTCAATACAATGACTGTCCATCTGAGTCTGCTGTACAGCCTGTGTGCTCTCTGTCTATCTGCTGTTACTGTCTGTCTCTACTGCAGAGTTAAATACAACCTGAACATTTTGTGTGACTGTTTTCTTCCTACCTCTCCCACACTCCCAGTCTCTGCTAGGCCTACAGCAGCATCCTTGCTCCCTGCACTGGTACACAGTAACCTATAGAACATTGCAGAAAAATGTTTTTTCACACACTGCTCTCAACATTGGAACACACATGAATAAAAACATTACTCACTAGCCTACTTAATTTTTTTCTCCTTGCCTTCACAAACACAGCGGCTTGCCCTACCTCTTTCTTTCTCTTTCCCTGTGTTTGTCGGCCCTGTTGACTTTCTCCATCAGCAGTGGGCTGTTTTATAAAGTGGACGAAATGACACAGCACTCGCGATTTCCACCAGTGATACCGTTTTCACCCGTGTGTGCATGGAAGAGGCTTGTTAATGAGGAAGCCAATCGAAACTGACACCAACATTGTACCCAGTAGCAGCTGCACCAAAGTGTTCACTGCTGCATTACCTGGTCCGTGCTTATGAATTATCCACCATGTGAGTCTTATAACGTAGGCTACTGGATTTCATTTCTCTCAGTGTTTCTCTGCAAAATGCTTAAATGGGATATAGTTGGGTGGCAGTTAATGTACCTCAACGGCCGCCCAAGTAAAGCCAATGTGTGGGAAACACTGAAATATCAACCCGACAGGCCCACCCAGAAACAAATAGTCCGGCCCCTCTGGCATATGCCAGAATTGCCAGGTGGCCAATCCGCCCCTGCCATTAAGCACAAACCAGATGGGATGGCATGTCGCTGCAGAATGCTGTGGTAGCCATGCTGGTTAAGTTTTTCTGCCACCATCAGTGTCACCAGCAAAGCACCACCACACCTTCACCCCTCCTCCTCCATGCTTCATGGTGGAGGGCAGAGCCAAAAATTAAATATTTGGACATCAGACCAGTACAGATTCAAAGACAGGTTTCTTGGCCAACACAATTTTCTTCTTGTTGTTCTTCCTCAGTAGTGGCTTCTTTGCGGCAATTCGACCATGAGGACCTGATTCAGACAGTCTCCTCTGAGCAGCTGATGTTGAGATGTGTCTCCTACTTGAACACATGCATCTATTTTCTCAGATGCTCCTAAAAACACCTCAGTGTCCAACAGTCCATCAGGTTTGGTGTCAGCAGGTAGCTGGGTGAACCTGACCTGCTCCAGCAGAGCCAAGCCTCCCGTCAGCCGCTTCACCTGGTTCAAGAGCAGCAAAGATGGACCCATGACTGTATCTGAAGGAGAGATTTACAGCTTCAAGGTGATCAATGTCACTGATGGAGGAGTTTATTACTGTGTGGCCACAAATGATCTCGGTAATCAGACGTCATCAGAGATCCATCTGACTGTTGAAGGTAAACAAATGAACTGTAGAAAGTTGTGAAATAGGAGCAGGTATTGTTGGATAAAGTATTAATAGCACAAATATTCAGGTAATCAGACGTAATACTGTGCTGAATCTGCTCATTTTAATCTAATCTGCTCTCTTCTGTTTTGTTTTGTTCTGCTGTATTGCTTTGTTTTTTAAAGTATTCTGTAAAATAACTTTTATTTGTTTGTGTGAAATGTTGCCATTCAAATAATGTTAATAAACCTGTTTATACTTGAGGTTAACTGAAGGAATTAAAGTATATGAAATTTAAAGCCATAACATTTCCCATTAAGTTGAAGCTGTCTTGTTACAGATTATCCAAAGTTTGGGGTTGATGTCTACGTTACAGTGAAGATCCTGGGAATCGTAATGCTCTACAGTACAATCATCATCTTTGAGTGGTGAGACAAACTTTTCTATGATCTGATCATTTGCTGCTTAATACTTGTTGGTCTCAGAAATGTTTAAAGTTCATGTTGAAGTTTTATTAATGTTTATTCATTCCATCTCATTTTCTTTCAGGTGGTTTAGATCAAGATGCTGCAACAAACCAGTGAAGGTAAGCTGCCGGACGAGGACAGGTACATTATTCTTTCTACAAGAAACTGTCTCAGAAGATTAAAGGGAGAAAATATCCTGTTAAGAAAGAGCAAAGGTTTCTTTGTAGGTGTCTTTCAACAACCACACAGAAGAAACCATTTAGAGAGAATGATGTTTAGATATCTGAACACATGCATCTATGTGGGCTTTAATCTGAGGTGCTGTTAATTTGCGGTTTCTGAAGCTGGTAATTCTAATGAATTCATCCTCTGCAGCAGAGGTAACTCTTGGTCTTCCTTGTCTGGTGCGGCATGAGAGACAGTTTCATCATAGCGTTTGATGGTTTCCACAACTGCATTTGAAGATGCATTCAAGGTTTTTGAATTTTCTGGATTGACTGACCTTCATGTCTTAAATTAATGATGTACTGTTGTTTTTCTTCACTGAGGTGAGGGGTTCTTGCCATAATACAGGTGAAACTCGAAAGATTTGCATATCGTGCAAAAGTTCATTTATTTCAGTAATATATTATATAGACCCATTACATCAAATGTTGTATTCCTCTTGTCAAGCCGCTCCTGAACAACAATCAACGTCAGAAGCGTCTTACCTGGGCTAAAGGGGGGGGAAAAAAAGAACTGGTCTGTTTCTCAGTGGTCTGAAGTCCTCTTTTCTGATGAAAGCAAATTTTGCATCTCATTTAGAAACCAAGGTCCCAGAGTCTGGAGGAAGAATGGAGGCACACAATCCAAGTCCAGTGCTTGAAGTCCAGTGTGAAGTTTCCGCTTCTGTGTTGGTTTGGGGAGCCATGTCATCTGCTGGTGTTGGTCCACTGTGCTTTATTAAGTCCAGAGTAAGCGCAGCCATCTACCAGGACATTTTAGAACACTTTATTACGAGCTTTATGGAGATGCTGACTTCATTTTCCAGCAGGACTTGGCACCTGCCCACTCTGCCAAAAGTACCAAAACCTGGTTCAATGACCATGGGATTACTGTGCTTGATTGGCCAGCAAACTCGCCTGACCTGAACCCCATAGAGAATCTATGATATGCGAATGTTGTTCAATCTTGTCATTGAATCTCCTCTGGTCGCAAGGAAATGGCCAAAAAAAGTGTGTCGGAGTTTGGTCCCCTCGTTGCCCCCGGCCGTCGCTGACTTTGTGAAGAGAGCGGCGGATGAGTGTAAACCCATCGGTGTGCATGTGGTGACAGGGACGCCGGAGGAAACGGCCAACATTCTGGCAGGACTGGAGAAAGAAGGGATGGTCAAGAAGCTTCCCAAATATGAGAACTGGTAAGGACTTTAGATTTGTTTTACCTACATGCATAGATTCACTGGTGTAAGTGTAATTTGTAACACTTAGTTTTTCCCCACCGAATTAGCTCTGGTTCTTGATCCGGTTCTGTTCAGGATTCTTGGAACTGTCGTACAATCTAGTGAACCAGCCCATGTTTCCACCTGATTTGTTCTGCACTATTGTAATCAAGGATGCGTCATCCACAGAGGGTGTTGCTCAATGACCTGTAGAATATGAAATGTCCACTTCAGTTCGCAAGTTAAACCTTCTATTACTTGGTTCCAACTGGGAACCAACTTGGTCTAAATGCTCTTAAGGGTTCAAAATCAGCTGCACAAACCAGGACGGAGATGGTTCCATGTTGATGGAAAAGGCCTATCATTGCGTGTATGTAATTCTCTTCTAAAGTTCCTCACTTTATCTTCAGCATGCTCAGTTTGCTGCTTTGTGTTTTAGCTGGTTGGCTCGTACAGACCCAAAGGACGTGGCTCGAGTAGAAAGCAAGACTGTGATTGTGACCAAGAACCAGAGGGACACTGTGCCCATCCCCTCTGGAGGGGCGAAGAGCCAGCTGGGCAGCTGGATGAGTGAGTCTGACTGGCAGAAAGCCAGAGAAGCGCGTTTCCCCGGCTGCATGGCAGGTATGTTGCTGGATGGAAATGTCCCTTTTTGCCATGAGATGTGGGTTTTCAACTTCCCTTTTGAAACTTGGAAGATTTGAATGGTAGGATTTTAACCTGAACACCAAGCAACAATTAAAGTGTAAAATAAGTTGTTTTATCTTAAAACCTCAATCAGGCTGAAAAGCGGTAGTTGCTTCTCCGGTTGACAGTTTCAAGCCTGTTTCACCTTTGGCTACACCAGGTGTCTTTCATGGGGCGCTGTTTCACGTCACCCATGTCTTTGTGGGTGTTACAAACTAAATGGAAATCCACTTGACAGCAGCACTAAAAGAAGTCATGTTCAACATGTGTGAATATAAAAACAATGTTGTCTGTATTGGAAAAATAAACTGCATTAATGTGTTCTATATGCTTCTGTGTGTAGGTCGAACCATGTATGTGATTCCCTTCAGTATGGGTCCTGTAGGCTCGACTCTGAGTAAATATGGTGTCCAGGTACTGACTGTGATCCCCTCAACACTTTGTTTTATTGCTGTAATTTATTATAGTCATTCATCATACAGTTTATTCTAATAAATTGCTGCTTATGGTTATTGCGCAGTAAGCGTTTTAGGTTGTAAATCAGGGTAATAAACATTCTGTTTACCTTTTTTAAGGTGACAGACTCTCCATACGTTGTGGCCAGCATGGGGATCATGACACGCATGGGCACTCCTGTCCTGAAGAAACTGGCTGAAGGAGTGGACTTTGTCCGCTGTCAGCACTCTTTGGGCCGACCTTTACCACTCAAAGGTACCAATTCCAAGTGCCTAAAACAAGTTATTTTAGTGTTTCCTTTTACTTAAACCTGTCCTTACTGTTTATTATTCACACCTCTGCCCCACCCTCCCCTCTTTGCTCCATCCAACTCCCATCTTTCCCATCTCTGTTCTGTCTGATGTCTCTTTGTCTCCTCTCCAGCCCCTCTGGTCAACTCTCTCCTGGGGAAGAAGTGCTTTGCCCTCCGCATTGCCAAGGACGAAGGCTGGCTGAGTGTGAACACACCTGGAAGCAAGGTAAGATCAGAAAGTTTCCTGCTTGTAGTTCAGCAGTTCAGGAGAAAAGTATTTGTTTTTACCTCTTAGTTTCTAATGAATGTCCAGCAGTTTAACCACCAGTTCTGATTATTAATAGGGCCTAGACCAGAAAAACTCACTGCAGCATCATGCAGAGCATGCCTGGCTCATTAAACTTTAAGAATTTGTCAATGACACTCAATAGAGTCCATATTTATATATTTTATAATTATGGAAATGATTAGGACTTTCATTTATTGCATGAAAATATAATGTAAGCTCAAAGAACAGGTAATGGGGTGTTTTTTTTTGTTTTTTTTAATGGGACAGTTAGTAGAAAGTCCTCATAATTTCATGGTCAATATAATTTTGTTTATTTTTTTTATAAACGGTTCAAATAAAGCTTAAGCTACATTTAAGTCATGATTTAACATTGTCCTGTCAGTGGCACTAAGGCCACTGTAAAATAATACATCAGAGGTTTAAAGACAGGTAAGGTAACTGTGCATGGCTTGCCTCGCACAACACAGTGCTTGTGTCCTCATCTTCATCATGTTTGAGTCATTGCAGCTACGATTTCAACTAAGTTGAGCAACATGTGCAACAGACACGTAGCTGTGCATTAAACATGATAACATGTTGTTTTTAGGAGTCCCTCATGCTGATACACATGTCTGAAAAAAGACATAGCCTAACTGTTTCAGAGTTGATTGTCATCACTTGTAATACTTCAGGCATTACAGAGAAGTCCTGTTAAGGAGGTGTTTTTAAAATAATGTGGTGATAAGGAAGTTACTCTTAATATTATTAATGCCAATTCTTTACCACAATTACAAAGCCTTTAACCAAAGGAAGCTTAAAATCAAGCTCAACAGGACTTGGTTGAAGATGCTCAAAGATGTTTCGTCTCTCATCCAAGAGACTTCTTCAGTTCTGACTGACTGGTAATGAAACAGCTATTTAACCTCTATGGGGTGGTTTGTAAAAAATTTATACCGCTGGTTTGTTAGTACTCGTGGCTGTAACTGCAGTCGTTATGGCCACCCGAAGCAAAATATGAATGACTATCGTTGGCATTCTTACCTGAGGTCAAAAGGGGGGATAAGTGGCATCGCAGACCCACCCCCTCCAAACAATTGTTTCTCAACCCACGTGTAAATGGCTTTCTTTACCTCTTTCAAACCACCGCACTTTCTGTCTAGAATGTGTACTTGAGATGTGATCTTGGTAAACTGCTGAGTCTTGACCTGAGGTGTCGGCCCGTTTTTGTTGAGCCATGCATTTGTGTTGTGGTTTAGTTTCACCAATACACAAGTCTGCATTCCTCACTGCATTGGACAGTGTCCAATAGACAACGACCTCACAGAAGTTAAATAGATAAGTTTCCCTACCAGTAAGTCAGAACTGAAGAAGTCTCTCAGATGAGACTAAAGGTCTTCCGGTGTCTTCAACCAAGTCCAGTTGCCCTTGATTTTAACCTTCCTTGCATAATTATGACCTGGATGACTGAGAGCCTTCACAGACAAAGCTTTTAATGTTTTCCTTCAGGCAAGGTGATTATGCACGACCCCTTTGCCATGCGGCCCTTCTTTGGTTACAACTTCGGAGACTACCTCGCTCACTGGCTGAGCATGGAGAGCCGAAAGGCCCCAACTCATCTTCCCAAGATCTTCCACGTGAACTGGTTCAGAAAGGACTCCGCGACCGGCTCCTTCCTCTGGCCCGGCTTCGGCGAAAACGCCCGCGTACTGGAGTGGATCTTCAAGCGCTGCAGCAGGGAGAGGGAGGACAAGGCGGCCAAGAAGAGCATTATCGGCTGGCTGCCAGAAGATGGCGCCATCGACACTGAAGGTCTGGGCAGCAAGGTGGATATGGGCGCCCTGTTCGATGTGCCTGCTCCTTTCTGGCAGAAGGAGACGAAGGAGCTGAGAGCCTACTTCACTCAGCAGGTTGGAGCTGATCTGCCAGCTCAGGTGGAGGCTGAGCTGAAGGCACTGGAGGACAGAGTGCACAATTAAAACCCCACTGACAGGAAGTTCATCCAGAAACAGGGAGCTAGTCACTGAGACAGGATTCAGATCATTGGGGTGCAAGCAGAGTCACTGGCTGGGTTTACATACTCAGAGAATTTAGTTAGCTGAAAGCACAGTTTTTAGTTTTTATCCATGTAAACATAAAAACTGAGACTGGGTTGGTCGAGATGCCTGGCTGACAGCAACAATAGGATATGACTTAGTTTGAGATATTAATAGTACTTGCTGCTCAGTCAAAGGTGGTTTAAGGCAGCCACATTTTAACTCTCTTTAAGCCTCTTTGTTGTTAGACCATGTTATATGTTGAGAATTCAGCAACCTAAAGCCAGGCCAGTAGATTAACTTTTCTCTGAGCATGAAAACACAGTCAGCAACTCTTGGCTTTCTCTTTTTATGGACAGAAATCTGTCTGAAATTAAATTTCAGATACAGAATTGGGGGAGAAACTAATAATCTACAATGCAATACCAACCTATTGGACAGGACTTCACTCTTATGCTGCACCAGTGAGGGACTAATGCTGGGATGGATGTAGGAGGGAGGTTAGATTTCTGTGAAGTTGTCAAACTTGTCATGTAGGGAAGCTAATGTCACTACCTCCATTCACTCAAATAACCTGGCGTGGTACTAAATCTACATGGCCCTGTTGTGCCTTTGAGATAACAATACAGTGTGTAGGCTGCTAATGTTTACAAGCTAAAGCCCAAAGATCTGACGGTGATAAAGTTTCAACATTATTTAATAAAGCTTTTATGTGAATTTCAGCACCAGCTATTTTAATACACTATCGACAGTCTCATGAAATGACTTATTTTAAAGTAAGTTTGAAATAAAAAAATATTCATCAGAAGTCCATTATCTACACAAAATATCGTAGCATATTTCCAGTGGGGCTGAGGATTACTATGAATAATTCATCTAGCCTCTTTGTTAATGTTTGTAATTGAATTGTTTGATTTAATATGATGTTTACACACTATGTGAAATGTTGGACCAATAAATGCGACTGAGATTAAAAGGAATTTTAAGAAGATGTATGCCAAGGTATTTATTACAGAGCAATGAATAAATATCTTCAGATGCAGAGACGACGCCTCATTTATTTTTGAAGTGATTAAAATACAAAAAAAAAAACATGGGCTACAAAATGTGACAAATGATTAGATTTAAAATGCCTTGTTAAAAATTAATTGTAAAATATTGCAAAATGAACATTTCAAATATAATATTACAACACTAGTAATGTGCGTATAAAAAAGCTTTGGGTTCAAGTTCACAGTAATTTATTCTCATGTCATTTAGAATAGTTCCCTTTTTCACTTGCTCATTTCTGAAAAAGAGACGACTTATCACACAGCATCAACGTCCGTATGAGGTCAGCACATACATTTGACAACAACTTAATGTGATAACGTGTGAAAGATGAAACCAGCTGCAGGGTGTGGAGGTCTTGAAGATATTTTCCTGTCCAGTGTCTCTCTTTAAATTAACTGACAAAGTAAATAAAGAGTAAGAATGCAGTCCAAATGTGACCACAACACACTCATTTTTTCTTCACTTGAGCGTAGAGATCCTCTGGGCCGTCAGCAGTCTGTGTTAAGCTGTTTGCTGGCTGGGACACTTTGACCTGTGCATACAGAGTATCCTGCTGCTGTCCACTGTCCTGCACTGAGTCAGAGGACCAATCATGTTTCCCCTTGGAGAAGTCGATCTCTCCATAATGGATGGCTTCTGCTTTTTCTTCAGTTTTACTTGCTGGGTCTTGAAATGGCAGCTCTTCGTATGTTTGACTCTGTAAATGAATCAAACTGTTGTGAGGGGAACCTTCAGCTGGATCCTTCCCTAATAATTACTAATCCATCTCAAATCAATTGAATGGACTTTAGAAAAAAAAATCAGAACTACAAAGCAGCACAGAGGCGGCTCTGATTAAGGTTTTACAGTAAATCATCATCTGAACAGTGAGTCAGGTAGACTACACAGCCAAAATGAACAGATGTACATTCAGACACACAGTGCAGTACTGTACAGCTGAAGTACTGTAGTGTTTTCCCACCTGAGTCTGTTGTGTAGTTGGACGTGTTGACTTTAAACACCTGGAAGACATGAGAGGCTGTTATTTATACTGTGTTTTGGGTTAAATATACACTGCTCAAAAAAATGAAGGGAACACTAAAATAACACATCCTAGATCTGAATGAATGAAATAATCTCATTAAAATACTCCTTTCTTAAATAATTGAATGTGCTGACAACAAAATCACACAAATTATCAATGGAAATCAAATTTATCAACCCATGGAGGTCTGGATTTGGAGTCACTCAAAATCAAAGTGGAAAACCACACTACAGGCCGATCCAACTTTGATGTAATGTCCTTAAAAAACAAGTCAAAATGAGTAGTGTGTGCGTGTGGCCTCCACGTGCCTGCATGACCTCCCTACAATGCCTGGGCATGCTCCTGATGAGGTGGCAGATGGTCTCCTGAGGGATCTCCTCCCAGACCTGGACTAAAGCGTCAGTCAACTCCTGGACAGTCTGTGGTGCAACGTGGCGTTGGTGGATGGAGCGAGACATGATGTCCCAGATGTGCTCAATTGGATTCAGGTCTGGGGAACGGGCGGGCATCAGTCATAGCATCAATGCCTTCCTCTTGCAGGAACTGCTGACACACTCCAGCCACATGAGGTCTAGCATTGTCTTGCATTAGGAGGGACCCAGGGCCAACCGCACCCACATATGGTCTCACAAGGGGTCTGAGGATCTCATCTCGGTACCTAATGGCAGTCAGGCTACCTCTGGCGAGCACATGGATGGCTGTGCGGCCCCCCAAAGAAATGCCACCCCACACCATTACTGATCCACCGCCAAACCGGTCATGCTGGAGGATGTTGCAGGCAGCAGAACGTTCTCCACGGCGTCTCCAGACTCTGTCACGTCTGTCATGTGCTCAGTGTGAACCTGCTTTCATCTGTGAAGAGCACAGGGCGCCAGTGACGAATTTGCCAATCTTGGTGTTCTCTGGCAAATGCGAAACGTCCTGCACGGTGTTGGGCTGTAAGCACAACCCCCACCTGTGGATGTCGGGCCCTCATGGAGTCTGTTTCTGACCGTTTGAGCAGACACATGCACATTTGTGGCCCGCTGGAGGTCATTTTGCAGGGCTCTGGCAGTGCTCCTCCTGCTCCTCCTTGCACAAAGGCGGAGGTAGCGGTCCTGCTGCTGGGTTGTTGCCCTCCTACGGCCTCCTCCACGTCTCCTGATGTACTGACCTGTCTCCTGGTAGCGCCTCCATGCTCTGGACACTACGCTGACAGACACCGCAAACCTTCTTGCCACAGCTCGCATTGATGTGCCATCCTGGATGAGCTGCACTACTTGAGCCACTTGTGTGGGTTGTAGACTCCGTCTCATGTTACCACTAGAGTGAAAGCACCGCCAGCATTCAAAAGTGACCAAAACATCAGCCAGGAAGCAATGGAACTGAGAAGTGGTCTGTGGTCACCACCTGCAGAACCACTCCTTTATTGGGGGTGTCTTGCTAATTGCCTATAATTTCCACCTGTTGTCTATTTCATTTGCACAACAGCATGTGAAACTGATTGTCAATCAGTGTTGCTTCCTAAGTGGACAGTTTGATTTCACAGGAGTGTGACTGACTTGGAGACACATTGTGTTGTTTAAGTGTTCCCTTTATTTTTTTGAGCAGTGTACATTGTGCCAGTAACTGAGTCAAATTAGCTGCTTTGATTTGTGATACTTACCAAACACAGACAACCAGGCAGATGAGTGCAATGATCCCAACGATCCCTCCAAGAACTGCCTGCCATTGTACAGAGTGAACGTCTTCTTCTCGAAAAAACAAAACCAATATTAGTGACTACAAGAAGACAAGTGTTGTGCTGAAGTTCAGATTAAGATTATAGTTTGTATGGTATATACAATTTCATTGAAAGTACTTCACAGGGTACAACCAGGGCCGTAACCAGGGTTCATAAATTAGTGAGGTCCCGATTATTTTTTCATATGGTAATTTATACCTAAATTACGCCTAAACACAACCAAATGTATACACTACAGTCACACAATAATGATAAGAAAATACATACAAAGAGACAGACTGGCAAAAAAATACTTGTATTAAAGCTAAATTTTGCCCTTTGTGTGTGTCCATGCGCAGAGAAGGCTTAAGGGCGCAGTGGACACACTAACCACAGGCTGTTCATCATGGTCTTTCTCCTGACTACTTGGCTCACTAAAATTGCATAAAATAAGAGATACAGACACACAAGGTATGATCAGGAGATCTTTGTAAACTAATCTTCACAACATGCATTAGAAAAAATATATTGCCTTTCAGTAGGTTCTATGTCAAATGACCCAGGGACTCCAAACCAATGCCAAGTTGTAGTACTACACTAGGCAAATGAGACACACCTGTTTTCTATTTTCCCCAGTGTAGTACTACAATTCAGCATAAGTTTGGAGTCCCTAGGTCACATAACATGGAAGCTATTAAAAAATAAAGCAGTTTCTTCCACAAAATATTAATAGATATTAATAGAAAATAGAAAAAGTACTCAATTGTAGTATGAAGGGGTGTGTCTTATATGCCTAGTGTAGTACTAATATTTGGCATTGGTTTAGACTCCCTAGGTCACATGACAGACACTACTGGGAAAAAAGCATTTTATTAAAATTTATATAAAAATTAACTTTTTCATAACATTATTAATATAAAATATGCACTCAAATCTAATATGACGAGGTGTGTCTCCTTTGCCCAGGTTAGTAATACAATTAGGCATTGGTTTAGAGTCGCTGAATCACATGACAAGGAAGCTTTTTTTAAACAACATGTTAAATATATTAATACAACTCTGACTTTCTTACCAATTTATTTTAATTCCCTCACACTCATGCCATTGTTTCATACTCAACATTTTTCTACAAAGTAATCCGTTCACACAGAGACCATAGTCTTCTTTAACATTCACTAGGTTAATAACAGGAGTAGGCAACAGTAAAGGAAATTATGCCACAATGTGCATGTTTTCTATGCTGCTAGTATATATTTAGAAAAAATGAGGGAGAGGGACAAGTTTAACAAAAAAAATCAGTGTTTCTCATACGTTCATTTATTTGTTGCGGCCGCCACAATATCAAGGCTGAGCACCACATATTGATTTTTGATTTTTTTTACTAGGCCTATAAAAATGGATTGCAGAGCGCCTTTGTGCATTTGCGCAGCACATCCTCTGGCTCATCCCTCCCTCTCTGTCTCGCTCTCTCCCTCTCCCTCATGAACACAGCTGCACAAATCTGTCCAACACAACGCTGTCAATGTGGGAGACCCAGCTTAAAAAAAGTTATTAGCACACATTTAAGGAGGCTAGCTGGGTTTTTGAGACTGTATATAGCTGGCAGTCAATATCGACTGCACTTTTTTCATGTCAATTTTGAGATCTCACATGGAAAGAAAACTTCTAAAATACAGATTTAGTTTGCATCTATAGATTTCTTCTAAATTAACCAAAACAAGTTAATCTGAGGAAAAGACTCTTGATGTAGGACTAAGTCATTAACTGAGGAAGTTCTGTGGTGATATGCTTAAGTTATTTTGTTTATCCTTTTCACCTACATTGCCTTGGCATGTGTGCAAATTAGTGCATTTTAATTAGTTAACTCCTACTCTGCATATCAATGTGGGGATCATGATTACATTATTAGACACATATTTTACTGTGTTCACCTTTAGTTTCTCCATTGTAGCCTACATTAGACTGTATGGCAATGATATATTGCCTTAGCTAAACTTGAGCTTATTACAGTAGCTCAGCTCATGAGTTATGCAAGTTAGCAAGACACAAGTTAACTATCTTTGCCTTTTGTCTTTTGGCTAATTGGTGGTAAACTGGAGGCACTTGTAGCTTAGCCCCATACCCTATACCGTCACCTACACCGTAGCCTGACGTGCACCTCCTCAAAAATGTAACTACAGGTCAAGTTGACCGTAAGCTCTGTGATTGGTCGGCTGGGTAGCCTCCGAGCCGACAGGAAGTGCCCGTTCTTTGAAGTAACTTTTACTAGCGGCCAAAACGGCGGCTGTAACACAGCGGATTTATATATTTGACTGTCACAACCCGAGCGAAATGACTCGTTTCACTATCAGAATGAGATCCATTCTGTCGATAACATTTGAAAAGGCGACACCAGCCGCACGTTTACAAATTTACCCCCATTGATTGGAATTGACAAAGTCTGTACCTGATATTTAGATTTTTTATTCAATAAATATATTTGTTTGACAGGAAAGCTGTGTGTGTGCAAACAGGAATATGTATATATAAATTTATTTTTTAAAAAAGCACCCCAGAAAAATGTTTTTTTTATGTTCACGTGCCTGCTCGGAGGTATACTGCGAAAACTGGGTGAACCTGAGTAAGAAGATGCCAGTGGATCCTGAGTGAATGTCTGTCGAATATCCAACTTAAAACTAACTTCACCGCCGTAGTTATGCTTCTGTGCCTCGTGCGTAAATGCACACAGCGTGTCTCTTAATGGGGATACGCTATACCCTATTTCACCCACCCGGAAATGTACAAAATGTAACGCCCGAAACTCTGCCCACAACGAGTGGTGCTCTCAGTTACTGTACCACAACTTTTCATGTGCTTCACCAAGTCTGGACACTGATGGAGAAACAGTTTTTGGAGGAAGTTGAAAAGGGTTTTCCCAGTATAATCAGCTGCGCCCACATGCTCCGAAAGACTTCATTTAAGTTGACTGTGTTATCAATGGTTTTCATTTGAATTATTTTATTGATAGGCTATAGACTACATATAATTACGGACGTCAGGACCTCGCTGACCTCATTGCTGGTTACGGCTATGGAAAAACTTAAAAGTAAAGCACACATTAAGAGAAAAGTAGGAAAATATAGAAAAGCAGATTTATGTTAGTGGACCCAGTAAAGTAACTGTGCTGACTATCTTTACCTTCAACAGTCAGATGGATCTCTGATGATGTTTCATTACCGAGATCATTTGTGGCCACACAGTAATAAACTCCTCCATCAGTGACACTGGTCACCTTGAAGCTGTAAACCTCTCCTTCAGATACAGTCATGGGTCCATCTGTGCTGCTCTTGAACCAGGTGAAGCGGCTGACGGGAGGCTTGGCTCTGCTGGAGCAGGTCAGGGTCACCCAGCTACCTGCTGACACCAAACCTGATGGACTGATGGACACTGAGGTGTTTTTAGGAGCATCTGAGGAAAATGTGACATCCCATCAATCATCATGTGATGATACTGTCCTATAAGCAGTGATTAATAATATCTGAGGTTGATGTTTGCTGAACTATAACCCAGCAAATAAAATATATCATGTCTACTTCAGTGAAGTTCATGAAAAGCAGCAAAATAAAAAAAAGTTAGAAAGTTAAAACATAAAAAGCAGTAGAGTACATACACTACCAGTCAATATCATAAACTTTAATTCCTTCTATTAACTTCAAATGTAAACAGATTTATTCTTTTTAGTTATTTAGTATTGGATCATCTCACACAAATGCAAAAAGGTGCTTTACAATGTAATAAAACAAACAAACAAGCAATACAGAGGAGGAAAAGACAACAAAACAGAGAAGAGACGATCAGATTAAAGCAGATTCAGCACAGTTCTGTATTTACCTGCAGTCATCAAATTAATCTGTGATGACGTCTCATCACCGAGATCATTTATGGCCACACAGTAATAAACTCCTCCATCAGTGACATTGGTCACCTTGAAGCTGTAAACCTCTCCTTCAGATACAGTCATGGGTCCATCTGTGCTGTTCTTGAACCAGGTGAAGCGGCTGACGGGAGGCTTGGCTCTGCTGGAGCAGGTCAGGGTCACCCAGCTACCTGCTGACACCAAACCTGATGGACTGATGGACACTGAGGTGTTTTTAGGAGCATCTGAGGAAAATGTGAGATTCACTTTATTCAAATCAGCTGACATCCCATCAATCATCATGTGCTGACAGGATCCAATAACAAACTCTGCTTGTCTTACATGAAACACTGAGAGTCTTTCTCTCCTCTGCTGTCCTGACATCTTTTCCTTCATTCACAGGATATCTGGCAGAACAGGTGATGTTGTATCCATCATGTTGGTCTGACAGAGTGATGGTCTCCTGGATTTTAGTTGTAAAGGTTCGATCTGTGTTTTCCTCTGTGTTGCTGTGAGAGTCTTGTTGGAGGTTCCAGGTGAGTTTAGGAGGGGAGTGTGGACAGGGAGTGGAAGCTGAGCAGGTTATAGTGACAGACTGCTTCTCCTTCAGATCAGCTAGGATCTCAATTCTGGGGCTCGGAGGAGAATCTGTGGTTTCAGATCAAACACAGATTTTACACTGAAAGGGCAATGCTGACATTTAAGGATTTAAACTGCTTATGTTGATAATTTACAGATAAACTAGATTCATTTAAAATGTAGGGGAGACCAGGTATGGTTGTTCCACGTTTTGCTTCAGCAACTACAACTTGCTGAATTTTGCAGCTACAGTTCTCAAACTTTTATACAAAGTACCCACATTTGTTCACTACAAATGCCACCAATTCAGTCCTCTACAAGAATATAACAGACCTCGTGAGTTGATGTCAAATGCATTGCAAGAAGCAAAAATAGATGCCACACTATACGATATGCTTCAAAACAGGGAGTTCTATAAAAAATGTTTCTCTCTCACTGTAACAAAAAAGGTCTGATGACTCGCCCGAATGTCCAGTATGTACAGTATATGTAAATTTATCTACAGAATAAACTACTACTAAAATGTACTAAAAGAACATCTCTGTACATCCTCAGGTCTAACAAAAAAGAGGTATTTGTGTGTGGTGTCAATGTGTGTATATTCTTCATCAGAGTCAGTGTTTGAAGTGGGTCGGTACTCACTGCTACGCAGCACCAGCACTTCTATATTTTACTCTTTGGAGTAGTGGGACTTTTTCTTGCGCACTGGAATTTCTCACAAGCTGCATGTAGGCTTCTCTGCCCTCTCCACCGGCAGAGACGGAGTATGGAAAAGACCGAGTGCCGATATATACGTCAACATTTGAACAACATGTGAATGGGGAATACTGGTCACAGTGCTGACAAATGAATGGTGGTAACCATAGAGTGCAGGCTTGACGGGCCCAGACTGCAAAGGGCACTCTGTAAAATATTAACATAAAGAAAGCCCCTAGTTGTATGTGTAATGGATGGTTGTAACACTTTTTAAAGAAGTGTTACAACCCAACCCACCCCTGTCAGCCAATGTTTATCAAGCTGTATAAGCATAGTGGTTTGAAATTAGAAAGGAAAAAATGCATCATATGTTGCCTAAGAAACTATATTTCAATCTAATATAAATCAAAAAATTATATCTGCAATAATATAGATACTAAATAAAATATAGTCTTGGTCAAATAATTTACTTTCTTACCTCAAAATCTGTTTTGTCTCTATATACTGTGAATGTACCTGTTTCAACACATGATAACCACCATGCCTGATCGGGGAGGAAGTAGGTAAATACTGATATGATCACATAACTCCTATCTTATCTCTAATTGGTAGAGCTGGTGATGTTACAACTCTCCCCATGTTACAACCATACCCGGTCTCCCCTAATAAAGATTAAATAACAGTAAATGTCTGTATTTTGTCCCTTACTGATGATACATGTGAAGGAGTGAAAATAATTCAATACATGATTTTTCCCTTTTTCATGTTTCAAATAACAAATTCAGCAGACAGGTAGTGACATTTTGTCTGATATGACAGTTACAATAATGCAGACAACATAATAAAGAAGTGAAAGATATTTTCATATATAGGTGTCTAAGCAGTATTCAACTGTAGTAACTTGGAAAACGACCACTTTCTGTTCACTGGTTGGTTTCTTTAACGTTGGAGCTGCTGTTGATAATCCTACAGTAGATATTTCATTTCACAGTGAAGGTTAGAGTCATGGAGTTTGCTGTTTAAACCAAAAATGAAACTGATTACATGTTTTATTCTAAATAATCCCATTATAGATGTTGATAGATATATACTGAAAAACTAAACTCTCTCACCTTTAACTGTTATTTGAAGAGGATCACAAGATGCTGTTGACATGAATGGTTTGTTCTCAATTCTGAAGAAGTATGTGTTTGTATAACTTGTGAGTAAACTTGAAAACATAGTGGTGCAGTTTTTCTGACTCAGGTTTCCAGTAATCCTCATTGGATAGATGTTAACTGTCCTGCTACTGTTGAAAATCACATTGTCTGGATTGATGCCAAACCTGGAGTCACTTTTAATCCACACTCCGAAGGTTTCTCTGCTGCTGTCAAACTCTTGTTCTGCTTTAGCACTAAAGTTACATGGGATTTGCAAACAAGAGCCATTCAGTGCTTCCATCTTCTGTGGTGCAGTGATGAAGAGGCCTGCTGGCTGTTGAGGACAATCAGCCCAAACACCTGTAAAACCAGATGATTACTGTAACAAGAAGTGGAGCAAAATCTGCATGAAGAGAAAGTTCACGATACACAAACTACAATTCAGCAGCAGCATGTTCGCTCCTATTTCCTTTTAACAATGTCAGTATAAAACATTTGACTGCGCTGGTCTTTTTGCTTTGTTTCTAAATGAAGTCCAAACTGTAAATGATGAACGTCTCCAAATAAAAGCGACTGAACAAACAGCTCACCTGAAAGAAAGAAGACACTCAGTAACATGTTGGCTGTCACAATATTCACAGACAGGACTGCAATGACACTCATCACCTGGATTTGAAAACAAAAGTTACCTTTCAATATTTTAATCAAAGCATCTTTTAAACAAAGTATTCATGTTCTTTTAAAGCAAACTCAAATTCACACATTTCCAACTTGCCATGGACAACCAGATGTTACTGTGTTATAAGCAGTGATTAATAATATCTGCAGAGCTGCACTGACAACACTTTCAATATAAACTCAAAATGATCCAGCGTGAGTTTATGATATTATAGTTAAAATAAAATGTTGCTGAAGCAACTTCTCATTTCTTTGAGGCTCATTTATGCTGAACCAAAACTAGATTAGAAAGCACAAACATCAAAAGCAGAAACATTTTACCTTACCAAACGAGCCTGCAGCTGAAACAGAGAAATAATTTGTTTTAAAATCAGGGAATTTGTGAATTTCAGCAGAACTGCAACAGACACAGTAACTGACTCCCCTGCTAAGCCGTTGTAATATAAAAACAAGTCGAGTTGTTGTTTTAAACTAGATATCACACAACTAAAATAGTGAAGAAACACAAGAAGTCTTCACACTTCCTGCTCTCACCGTCAGTGAGGAAGTCAGTTTGGGACAATTCGAGCTCATTTGAATGCAAATGATGTCAGATGTTGTTGCATCTTAAACTCATCAGGGTGCAAATGGTTTATTTAGATTAATTATTTTCTACTTTTATTATTATTTTAGTTTACACACTAATGTAGTATTGTACTGAGTGCAGGCTTATATTCCCTGTTTTCTGTAGCTTCTGTTACATATACAGTACAGACAATAAAAAACAAAGTTCCAGGGGACTCTCATGACCTGGATTTGAAAACAGAAGTTACATTTTAATGTTTTAATCAAATCATCTCTTAAACAAAGTCTTCATGTTCTTTTAAAGCAACATTAAATACACATATTCAAACAGGAAGTAGCCGTGTACAACCAGATGTTATTGTGTGATTAATAATATCTGAGGTTCATTTCTGCTGAACTAAAACCCAAAAAATAAAATATATCCTGTCATTTTCAGTGAAGTTCATGAAAAGCAGTAAAATAAAGACTGGGTTAGGAAGTTCACACATAAAAGCAAAAACATTTTACCTTACCAAACGAGCCTGCAGCTGAAAGAGATTTGTTTTAAAATCATCGGATTTATAAATTTCAGCAGAACTGCAACAGTAACTGACTTCCCTGCTGAGCCTTTGCAATATAAAAGCAAACAGAGTTACTCTTTCAAGCTGAATACCACATGATTAAAATACTGCAAAGTCTTCACACTTCTTGGCCACACCCTGTCAGTGAGGAAGTCAAATGCATCGCCAGCTCATCAGTGTGAAAATTACTGAATTATTTAGTTTAATTATTTTCTAGTTTTATTGTTATTTATTTTAGTTTACACATTCATTTAGTATTGTTAAGATGAATGTCAAATATTAAATTGGTTTTAATTAATTAATTAAATTGATTTAGGTTTAAAATTTTCGTAGCTAAATTAATACATTATTTTCTCGAATACCAATAGCGGCACTGATTGATTGGGAGATCACCTGGAGGGGCAGTCCTGAGCTGAGAAGTTCGCCTGAGGTGAAGGTTCACGGAGGTGTTTCCGATGTAGCCAGGTGGGAAAAGACGCCACATTAATGTGAATTAGGGCCACACTTAATATTATTAAGTGTATTTGGACTCCGGTATTTTTGAATGATTTGCATGCGGCAAAATATAATGACTTTTTTTTAAAAAGACCAGCGTGGCGCTTTTGAGATGCTGCTGTGCGCTTGTTTATTTTGCCTGCTTTAATTTAATTTATCAACATGGTGATTAGTTTAAGGGATTGTTTAATGGGCTTATTAGTCGTGAGTCATGATAGCAGAGGATATTGGTGCTTTACATTATTACGTCATTCAGGGGTGGAAATGTGAACATGATTCGTTTCGATTTCGTCAGTAGTCGATATAATGGTTATACTTAAACGCATGATTAACTTGTTTATTTAAGAGCTGTGTTTAAAGGTGAATTATTATTATTTAGATTAATCTTTATTCTTAGATGAACTGCTCTAGGTAGTATTTGAATGTGATTTAATAACTTTGATCATGTGTTTAGTGTGAGGCAAAAATGCTGACGTTGTACATTTGGAATATTATTCAAGTAAGGGGCTTGGATAGTAAATCACTGCATAGAAATTAATATTGAGCTGATGTGGTTTGTTTTTTTTCTTCTGGTTGCATTTAAAGGTTATCAACCTATCAAACTCCACTGATGTATGAATTACAACTGATGATTGTGGAAAACTAAATAAATTCAAAGGAAGAAGATTTTAAGGAGCGAGTTGTCCCAAGTGTCCTCTCTCATCTCCTAAGCCTTTTTTGAGTTTAAGGCAGTCACTGAAGCCACACCCCAGATAACTCAACAAGTATAATGTATTAATTGCAAGCCCATATACCCTATTCTTTCTGTAGCTTAAACAGAACATACACTACCAGTCAAATGTTGGGACACACCCATTTACTGTTTTTTCTATATTGTTTTTATTTCACATTGTAGATTAATATTGAAGACATCAAAACTATGAAGGAACTGTCACGATCTGGCTCTGGGAGAGTGACAAATATGGAGACACCATATTGAAAGTATAACACATTAATTAAGGATGAGCAATAAATGTAAACAGAACATAAAACAAAGCATGTCGAGTTAAAATCAGTAAAGTCAGTAGTGATGGGTGTGAGTGAGTGAAAATATGGTGTATGTAGAGGTGTTGAAGTGTAGAAATAAGACAACGGAGAACTCAAAATGGCCTCAGCCACATCCTTGAAGGATGACGCCTCTGCAATGACGGGAGAAAGAAGAGAGCGAGACACTGCACTACTGCCAGGCTGAAGTAATCGGCACACTGGGGCCCTCAGGTGTTCACGATTTACCTAATGAATGTAAGCACAAGAAAGTTCCACAGTTCAGCCCCACAGGGGTCGTCACAGAACACATGGAATTATGTAGTAAACAAAAAAGTGTTAAACAAACCAGAATGTGTTTTATATTTTAGATTCTTCAAAGCAGTCGTAGCTTCATGAGGTGGTCACCTGGAATGGTTTTCTAACAGTCTTAAAGGAGTTCCCAGAGGTGCTGAGCATGGGTGATTGTGGAGGCCAGGCCATCTGACGCAGCACTCCATCACTCTCCTTCTTGGTCAAATAGCCCTTACTTTGCCTGGAGGTGTGTCTGGGGTCATTGTCTTGTTGAAAAACAAATTATGGTTCCACTAAGCACATAACCAGATGGGATGGCATGTTGCTGCAGAATGCTGTGGTAGCCATGCTGGTTAAGTTTTTCTGCCACCATCAGTGTCACCAGCAAAGCACCACCACACCATAACCCCTCCTCCTCCATGCTTCATGGTGGAGGGCAGAGCCAAAAATTCAAAATTTTGACTCATCAGACCAAAGTACAGATTCAAAGACAGGTTTCTTGGCCCACACAACTTTCTTCTTGTAGTTCTTCCTCAGTAGTGGCTTCTTTGTGGCAATTCGACCATGAGGACCTGATTCAGGCAGTCTCCTCTGAGCAGCTGATGTTGAGATGTGTCTCCTACTTGAACACATGCGTCTATGTGGGCTTCCACATTTTCCTCAGATGCTCCTAAAAACACCTCAGTGTCCATCAGTCCATCAGGTTTGGTGTCAGCAGGTAGCTGGGTGAACCTGACCTGCTCCAGCAGAGCCAAGCCTCCCATCAGCTGCTTCACCTGGTTCAAGAGCAGCACAAATGGACCCGTGACTGTATCTGAAGGAGAGGTTTACAGCTTCAAGGTGACCAATGTCACTGATGGAGGAGTTTATTACTGTGTGACCACAAATGATCTCGGTGATGAAACGTCATCAGAGATCCATCTGACTGTTGAAGGTAAACGAATGTACTGTATAAAGTGGTGAAATAGGAGCAGGTATTGTTGGATAAAGTATTAATAGCACAAATATTCAGGTAATCAGATGTAATAAAACAGGTTAATACGGAACTGTGCTGAATCTGCTAATTATAATCTAATGTGCTCTTTTCTGTTTTGTTTTCTTCTGCTGTATTGCTTTGTTTGTTTTTTTAAAGTATTCTGTAAAATGACTTTTATTGCATTTGTGTGAAATGTTGCCATTCAAATAATGTTAATAAACCTGTTTAAACTTGAGGTTAACTGAAGGAATTAAAGTATATGATATTTAGAGCCATAACATTTCCTGTTAAATTGAAGCTGACCGTGCTGTCTTGTTACATATCCAGAGTTTGGGGTTGATGTCTATGTTACAGTGAAGATCCTGGGAATCGTAATGCTCTACAGTAGAATCATCATCTTTGAGTGGTGAGACAAACTTTTCTATGATCTGATCATTTGCTGCTAAATACTTTTTGGTCTCTTTGAAATGTTTAAAGTTCATGTTGAAGTTTTATTCATATTTATTCATTCAATCTCATTTTCTTTCAGGTGGTTTAGATCAAGATGCTGCAACAAACCGTGAAGGTAAGCTGCTGGGTGAGGACAGGTACATTATTCTTTCAACAAGAATCATCTCAGATGATAAAAGGGAGAAAAGATCCTGTTAAGAAAGAGCAAAGGTTTCTTTGTAGGGGTCTTTCAACAACCACACAGAAGAAACCATTTAGAGAGAATGATGTTTAGATATGTGAACACATGCATATTATGTGTTATAGATATGTTATAGAAAACCATTTCATGTGCGCAAAGCTGTCATCAATGCAAAAGGTTACTTTGAAGAATCTAAAATATAAAACATATTGATTAGTTTAACACTTTTTTGTTTACTACATAATTCCATATGTGCTCTTTCATAGTTTGATGTCTTCAGTATTAATTCAGTAGAAATGAAGAAAAAACATTGAATGGGAAGAAGGTTAAAGTCAAGGGCAACTGGCCTTGGTTGAAGATACTGGAAGACGTTTTGTCCCTCATCCAAAGGACTTCTTCGTTTGCCAGGGTCATCAATACTGCTGGTTCGTTAGTGTTACTGGTTGCTGTAACGACAGTCATTACAGTCGTTAGGACTGTGGCCAAGACTGAACGACCATCGTTGGTATCTTCACCTGAGGCCAATAGGTTATGCTTGTTGAGTTTCCTGGGAAGTGATGAAAGGACAGCATTGTAAGTGGGGGATAAGTGGTGGCGTAGACCCCCTCCCCTGTTCAATGACGGGTTCTCGACCCGGGTGTAGATGGCTTCCTTGACACCTCTTTCAAACCATCCATCTCTGTCTAAAATGTGGTTAGATAGTTTTGCACCTGGTGGTCCTCAAACGAGTGTCCTCTGTCCTTCAGATGTAAGTAGACTGCAGAGTCTTGACCTGAGGAAAACTGCAGACTACAGGAACCATCTACGATTTAACCTGAGATGCCGAACACACAAACTTATTCCCAACAGCCTACACTTAGGCTCCACGGTAAAAGGACACAGAGCTGGAATAATCCTGGAGAAAGCGCAACACCAGCTACTGAATGAGAGAGTGAGACAGATACATTTCACAATTGAAGCCCTGAACAAAGAATTGGACAACATACACCACAAACTAGAAACATATCTGCCCAGTACAGCACTGGGAAAAGTCATGGACTTCATCAAGAAAGCACAGCTATCTCAGCACAAAAAGAGCAAAGAAAGACAGACCCGGAAATTCCAAAACCTACAGTCCAGCGCAAGCTGCACTAACAGAACAGGAGAATTGTCTTGGAGGAGAAAGGACAACAGCCCCACAACACATGAAACAGACAACAGATGGGTGAAAAACTTTTCAGATAATATTTTCTGGCAAAGAATGTCTCTTTTTAAGACAGACGGACTTCACCCAAACAAACGGGGCTCAGAAATGTTAGCTGCGCACATACAGCATGTGGTGCGGTCCACACATGACTTACGTGAATGACTAATCATTCATGCAGCACACCTGGACACACCACCAGTCACTGAACAGATCTCTGCCTCACTGCCACAAACAACTGTCTCCACCTGCTGGCATGTAAAGCCGTCTGCTCCCAGCGCTGTTCCACAGACTTCTATTCCTGTCATCATCACGCATAGACCAGTAAACCGAAATGTGCACATCCCACACAGAAATATTAGTAATCTCTTAAGGATTAGGACAACTGCACCAACTCCAGCACCCAGAACAAACTCATTTAAAATGGCTCTCTTTAATGTGAGATCACTTTCAAGTAAGACTTTTATCTTAAATGATTTTATCTTGTCTGCAAATCTAGATTTTATGTTTTTAACTGAATCCTGGTTGCAAATGAATGACTATAGCCAGCTAGCTGAACTGTGTCCGCCTCAATATGATTGCTTTAGTCAACCGAGGGTCAGTGGTCGTGGTGGTGGGCTAGTGAGCGTGTATAGGGAAAATTTTAAATGTCATCAAGTACGCTGTGATGAATTTAACTCCTTTGAAGTTCTCACTCTTAAAGTTGGAGGGCTGCAACCTATCATATTTGTTATAATGTATCGCCCCCCAAAACCGCCTGGAGGATTTTTATCAGAACTTCCTGAATTTTTATCTACTCTGGTTTTAAATTATGACAGAATTGTTCTTTGTGGCGATTTTAATATTCATGTTGATGACCCCACCAATCTTAATGCAACTGACTTTTTAAAAATGGCCACTTCTTTTAACTTCAAACAACATGTCAAAGGCCAAACACATAACCGTGGTCATACACTGGACTTGGTTTTTACCCTGGGTGTCAGCATTTCCTCTGTGGAATTAGTGGACATGACCATATCTGAGCACAGATGTATTGTTTTTAGCTGCGATTAGCCTGTTACTCATGCCGCCTCACCAAGCTCCGTGTGTTGTCGCATCTTTAATGAACAAAGTGTTTCAAAGTTTTGCGCATTCTTTCAGAGCCA